ATAGGGCTTGAAGTTGATAGAACTATTGAAGCCTTGAGAAGATCAAACAGAAAAGCTGAAGATTAAAATGATATAATGATAAAGATGTACTGGTGACTTTTTTTCAGAACTAACCATTCTTTTTTGTTTTGAATTATTAATTATCTATGTTTCTCAATGAGGGTGGAGGAAATTAGTTGTCTGTTTCCAGAGTATATCCAAAGAAATTGTTTTGCAGTCATAAATCTGTCTTGCCAAATCACCAATGATGGTCTGTGATGGCACCAACATGACACATAATATCACTTCAATTTGTCTCATCAACCAAATATATGCCAGGTCTCATCATGGGGTACATTCTCTATCAGCTTGCGGAGATGTTGATATAGTGAAGAATTAAAAACATCTTCTGATCAGGAAAAAGATGCTAACAACAAGCTACTTTGTCAGGCACTGTGGTGCTCTATATATAGCTCTAGTGTGTGGTTACTGATAGTAATCTCTGTCCACTTTGTTGCTGGAGCTAATGAGTACAAGGTAATAGATTAGCCAGCTCCTGTACTAGAATGTATGTTATCACTAGTGCTGAATTACATAATATTATCAGATCATCCCTGGAGGCAAGCACATGTTTCTTCCATCCTCACCCCTCCAAGTTGTCTTTTGATCATCCATATTACAATCCTTGGATAAAGCTTTTGGTTTGAAGTCTTTGCCCTTCAGTTCAATTTGTTAGAAGAATTTCCAATATGTATTTAAATAAATAAGAGCACCAGACTTACTAGTACAATCTACCTTCTGCCAAGTAAATTTATGGATAGATTTATTTTAACTCTGATACAAATTTTACCGACATTACATACTTAAAACTGCATGTGTTTTTATAAATAGATGAGAACATCAACTCTCCCCTAGATCCTAGATAATTGACACTATGTAGGTTTTAAAACAGATAACACTCAGGAGTAGGTATGTATATAGGTAAACCGATAAGTCTGCCAAAACCACAACTGACAAAAAATACGCTAATGAAAATATAAACATGTAATGTATGAGGCGTGGAATTACAAATGTACATTCAAAGTTAGCTTAATCACACTGTTTGACAAGTATATTAACTTTTGTTTGAATTCTTTAATCAATGCTATAATTTCCCAAACACTGACATGTGTTAAGTATTATGTAACTGCAAGGAATCATAAAGAAATTGTATTCAGACGACTCTCCAGGTTATATCATGCCCTCCATCAAGATAAGTCAGTGTATGAAGGTTGTTGTTTTTTTCAATGATTTGATAACATTAATTTCAAGGCATCTATCTATTCTTGATGGTTTCCATCATCAAAAATACTAGAAAAACTCAACAATAACTTTAACAGTGTTATGCATTCAGAACAGGAAAGGAATAGTTTTGGTTATGTAAAGTTACAGATTTCTATTCAGGTTTTGTTATAATTAGCATACAGGGACAAAGTTTTCCAGTTAGGTTGGCACAGAGAAGTAGTTTCCTGTTTAGGTTAGCACAATGACATAGTTTCCTGTTTAGGTTAGCATACTGGAATATAGCTTTATTTAGGTTAGCACAACAGGGCATAATTTCCTATTTAGGTTAGCATACTGGGACATAGTTTTCTATTTAGGTTAGCACACTGGGACATAGTTTAACATTTAGGTTAGTACTCTGTGTCTTGATGGTGATATCATTGTATCTAAACCCCAAAGGAATGACGATTAAGTTAGCATACATGAGGCTTGCTGAGAGTTTGCAACTTAAACAACTTTTCTCCAGGGTTGAGATAACCCTCTTGCATCAACAAGGGGGCGAGTGATTATGTTTCTCTTACCCTGCTGACTTTATTAGGTACTCTGCATGTTTTTCTTGTCCTAATACTTCACATTGTTGACAAGATTGAATGGTTAACGTGATATCAGTGAGTTGTTACAGTGATGTTTTATAAATATCCTGACAGGGTAACCCCAACACCTCAAACCTAGGGCGAGACAAGGAGATCACTCACTGGTAAATGCATGGATTTACCTGTCCAGGGTACCTTAAAGCACACAGGGACAGTTTTCTATTTAGGCTAGCACCTTGGGACAAAGTTTTCTATTTAGGCTAGTACATTGGGACAAAGTTTTCTATTTAGGCTAGCACCTTGGGACAAAGTTTTCTATTTAGGCTAGCACCTTGGGACATAGTTTTCTATTTAGGCTAGCACCTTGGGACAAAGTTTTCTATTTAGGCTAGTACCTTGGGACAAAGTTTTCTATTTAGGCTAGCACCTTGGGACATAATTTTCTATTTAGGCTAGCACCTTGGGACAAAGTTTTCTATTTAGGCTAGCACCTTGGGACATAGTTTTCTATTTAGATCAGCACCTTGGGACATAGTTTTCTATTTAGATCAGCACCTTGGGACATAGTTTTCTATTTAGATCAGCACCTTGGGACATAATTTTCTATTTAGATCAGCACCTTGGGACATAATTTTCTATTTAGGCTAGCACCTTGGGACAAAGTTTTCTATTTAGGCTAGTACCTTGGGACATAATTTTCTATTAAGGCTACCACCTGGGGACATAATTTTCTATTTAGGCTACCACCTGAGGACATAATTTTCTATTTAGGCTAGCACCTGGTGACATAATTTTCTATTTAGGCTAGCACCTGGTGACATAATTTTCTATTTAGGCTAGCATCTTGGGACATAGTTTTCTATTTAGGCTAGCACCTTGGGACATAATTTTCTATTAAGGCTACCACCTGGGGACATAATTTTCTATTTAGGCTAGCACCTTGGTGACATAATTTTCTATTTAGGCTAGCACCTTGGGACATAGTTTTCTATTTAGTCTAGCACCTGGTGACATAGTTTTCTATTTAGGCTAGCACCTTGGGACATAATTTTCTATTAAGGCTACCACCTGGGGACATAATTTTCTATTTAGGCTAGCACCTGGTGACATAATTTTCTATTTAGGCTAGTACCTTGGGACATAGCTTTCTATTTAGGCTAGCACCTGGTGACATAGTTTTCTATATAATCTGGTATCTAGGGACATAGCTTTCTATTTAGGATTGCACATGGGGACATAATTTTCTGTTTATCTTACTACAGAATTTTTTTTTTTTTGTTTGTTAAGCAGAATATTGCTCAAAAGAACCAACACACTTGCTTTCAAACTGACTATGATTATTATATGCAAACAATGTGTACCTACAGCCATTTGGTTGATGAATGATGTCGTTTTCACGTATTGTGTCCTGGAATCTACTCTAGATCGGAGATTCTAACAAGACACAACTTGCATGTTATGAAGAACATATGATTGTGACAGGAGAAATATGTGGTCTCATCAACTAACTACCTGTGGCTGCACTGCTACCTGGCAGGACACGAGGTATCTGTCAGTCTTCATCATCCCTGATGCCTCATCGTAATATATTAGCTCTATTTTTCACACCAGCCTGACAGCACCTGTCACTGTACCCAGCAGAGATGTGATGCTTGGTTAAAGCTTCACCCTACAGAAAGGACTTTACTTCACTTTGCTTGTTTGTCCTTGAACTAAATTGTTCACCTTGGGACTTCAAAACATGCAAACATTTCAAACATCCTTACTATTGAAGTACCAGTTATTCCCCAAATACTTGCACCACAGCTAAGAAATAAAAATTACCAAGAAATTTTTCAATCGTTTACCTCCCATACCTGATTCCATTGAAATTTTCTTGAATAATGCTAACACTGACCAGAATGGATAGCATCTTCAACTAAAAGGAAAAAAGTGGAACTGCCTACCAAGTATCTCATTGCTATGATGCAATAGATCTATTGGCGTCAGCAGCTCCTACACACACTTTCTTTGTACAGACTGGGTTCTTGCCCCTAATATACATTCAAACCAGCTAGTTAACCACCCCATATATTGTTATGTAAACATCAAACCTGCCACACATGGTCCCACTTGGAACTTTGTGTTTGATATTATGCACATCAACACAGTATGATGTAAGTCCCAGGCTCAAGGTTGTTCCCTTCAATTACTGGTGCATCATTACTGTGCATTTATAACATGGATGTTTGACATGCTGGGATTTCCTTGTATAAAGTAAGTAAAGCCAGAAACCCTCTAAAATACTCTAATGTGCTATCTAAAGGGCAATTTATTCAATCTTTCTACAACCTGAATTTCAAATAATCTTTTTATTTGAATACTTGAAATTTTGAAAATAAATTGTCAGTTTGATAGTTCTTCTGTCCAAACAAAACTTTTCTAGCAGTGGTGATTTCGGAAACATTATATTTTGTAAACAGTATCTTGACATTTAAGCATTAAGATTGGGACACAAGACATATGGAAACAATATGATTATCACTAACATTTTCAAGCCCCCCCAACCCCTTCATGATCACAATATTCCTCAAGTAAATTTTCACACAAAAATAACATCTAGATCTAAAATGCATTTTACATTGGTCTCCACCACTGTTTGCTATCAAATTTACACCAGAGTTTGAAGTTGATGGCTTGAATTTTGCTGATCACAGACAATGTTTAAATCTGTGACCAGAAATCTGATTGGTGTATTGTGGACCTGTGTTATATACGACACAAGTTAGAGAAGCGTAGATGATCGACGATGATAAATACACTAATAAACCTATCACCTGTTACTTCATGCATACAGAACACTGTTAAGACAGACAAATCTATTCCAGCTGTTATTACCTCAATAATCCATATTTTTATTATCAACAAGTATTTGTTTTCTTTAAATTCAAAATGTTTTAACTCCTTGCACTTTTTAATAGAAAAACCTAAAATTAGAAGGTGAAATTTCATATTCATACCAAGAATGCGTCTGAAAATATCTACTTGTCTTTCTTTATCAAGTGTTTCAATGTTCTGTATGTAGTAGAAAGAGTTCAAATGGAAGGTGATAAGTTTAAAAGAAAGGCATTTAAGGTCAGAGTGTAGTTATAGGTCAGAAGGTGGCTAGTACAAATATAAACTTACCATAGCTTGTTCTATCTTGTTGTCAATGGCGACAGTACTTGACCCACTGAAAAAGATAAAAGTAATAATTTTGGTGAGTATGGCAACATTTGTGACAGCTGAGTGTAAAACAAAGGACAGCCTGTCCATCACACAATCCTATATAGACCAACTGCTCAAGCCTTAGGCAAATCACTCGTCAACTAAATGGGAAAGAAATGTAATAATCTGCAGCGACTCCTCGCAGGTTACAGGAGGTGAAGATATTTCCTGCCAACGTCCATGTTTAACGCTAAATCTGTCTTCCTATGAGTGGAAATGTGGTACAAAAAGAAAAAAAAAACGAAGGCATTTTATGTAACATAAGTTGGAAAATTCAAGTTTGAAAAGGTTTCAGCTTGTAAACCATTCAACATATTATAAATACCTAAATGCAATACTATACATACATAATATGAAAATTCAAGTCCTGAAATGTTTCAACTTATACAACTTTTTATGAAAGAATAATTAATTCAATGAATAAATTGCATTTTAATGAACTGTAATTGATAAATAGAAAGGCTTACATTCCATTACTTTGTATATCTCAATAAATTTGACAAATGGTTTCCTATAGATCCCATAACTGCTTCTTAATAGCCCTTACAGTGGGAATAATTGAATAGCTATTATCATAATTCGACATGCATACACTTTTAACTATGTACTTGAATCACACTGCACCTAAAAACCCTGATTTTAGTGGTCCAATCACTTCTGTATTGATAACTCTTACACAACTGAAATATGTTTCCATTTTACAATCAGCCGAAGGCCCTTGCCTTCACTGCTCTAAGGAAGATCAATTTTACACCTTATTCTTTCCAACACACTGCCACAATTTCTGTGGGTAGGTATAATATTTATTTTCTCTTTAACAATAATATTTCTTCTCTATATACAAGTATTCTCAAATTTCTAGGCAACTCTACATACACAGGAAAGCAATTATACCAAACTTCTTCATTATTTCCTTTTTACTTAGTGATTTTCATCCTTAATTTATTTAATGGCTTCTGTAATTGTTTCCAGCAACATTAAAATGCCATCAAGTTGTAGATTTATTACTCGCCATGGGTTGAGTTAATAGCATGATTTGTAACATGGACCAAATGTATATCATAAAGTATTTAGTTCATACACCTTAACACCTCTGACAATTTATGAAATAAAACTTGCATGAAAAATAATATCTGTATCAACATATACACAATAATTGTAGCACTCTGGTAACCCTGAATTATGAATACAACAATCCACTTTTTCATCAAAATTACAATATTTCTATATGCCAGTTTTGATTTCACCATTTACACAAAATGTCTTATATTTGGATCCAACCATGTATGAATTGTTTAAATGTGGCCCCAGTATCATAAAATGACCCAAAGTTTTGATAGCCAATCATGTATAACAATCATGAAAAGAGACGTCATATGTGTGATTGGCTATGCAAAGTTTAAGATTGCTCAATAATCCCTGTGCCTTTGAAACATTTAAATCTTGTAAAGACATGATTCTACTACATGATGGCTATTTTATGTGCAAAACTCCAGCAGATATCACGTGATTCAAAGACAGATCAGCTGTTTTGAGCATGTAAAGATCAGCTGATTGTGTTTTGAATTCATAGAGAATTTATTTAGTGGGGCGTTGGTACATCAGAGGGTGAAAAAGTCAAATTTGTAATTTAAGTATGTAACCCTGACCCAGGCTATGTAACAGGTGAGGTTACTATTTATAGCCATGGGACATGCTTTTATATCATTTGGTGTAAACAATCTAATCCATAGCCAAGGTCAATTGGTCCTGCCATTGGCTGGGAAGGTGACTGACCCTCTTGCCTCCTGTATGTACAGCATGTTAGTGGAAACAAGTTGACTGACCCCTGTGTACCGCCTCTCCATCACAACATAACAATGTATTCTGTTTACATAACTGCATGGTCCCAGTGGGTATTACAGTAATTGTCCTCTCAATTAAAAAGACCTAAGAACTCCCTCCCCAAAATCATCATGAAACCAACCCATTCATCTCATAACCAAATAGACCTCATTGTTAAATGCTGATTCCATTTTGGCTGTATGGTGTTGATGCTGTTGATGATGGTGACAAGACAATAATAAGATGCTGTTGGTGATGGTGACAAGACAATAATAAGATGCTCTATTAGGAGTAATGTGTTTACCAGTATAACAAGTTACCAGGCTTTGTTCCTTCTAGTTTTGTGCATGTTTAACTGTAATGGCAGAAGATTCACCTAAAGCTGTAACAGCTTACAGTTATTAGTCAATAAAGGACGGGTCATGAAGGGTGAATGGTTCATCAACAGGACAGCACCTCTGCTATAACACAGAGCCTTACCATCAACCTCTCATAACCTACCCTACCCTAAGTATTAAAAAAAAATTTCTATCCCCATTCCTCCACCTAGTTGACCCTTTAGCTCCCCCTCTTGTTCCCTGTATTTTGTATTTGACCTCCTCACAGCCTCCCATTCCCCAGTCTCTCCCTCCTCCTCCCATCTCTGGATTGATGCAGCCCTCCTCTGTAGGCCCTCAACTACAAAAACAGTCAATATGGACTGATGACCCTGAGAGTACACAATAACTTTACCTGATAGGGTCAGCCACCTCTACCTGTTTGGAAAGTATCTGGCCTTGCCGGCACACTTGGTGATCATGAACTTGGTACCAGCTATTTAATTGTATAGAATGACCTTGAGAACATACACATTCCATTTATTTGGTGTGTGTGTACTATATATGGGACACAAGATATGTTGAACTTTGTGAACAAGTCAACATACTGATATACCCTAGAGATTTGATCAACAGCGTTATCTGTCAAGTTCATACCTAGGTATAGCCAAAATTAATGCATGCCATGCCAAATATCATTGGACTTCTCTGAATAATATTTCCATCAAATTTATCAAATGTCTCATAAGATATGTAAATATGTAACATTAGAACCACATTTTATTCTGCTGAATGTGCATAATTTTTGGACAGGAAGGTTAAAAGAAGTCCTACAATGTGCAGGACACAGGTAAGATAATGGATAGTCACATTACTTTCTGTCAGCCATGTTATGCGAGAATGTCTATTTTAGATTGCCATACATGATTCACGTGTACCATATGTCCAAGTTTGCTCTGAAAAAGGAACCATGATATATTTAGGTCCACCAGAAAATTAATGACAGCATGTATGGAAAATTTTGCTTCTAGCATGATAAACTTGCAGCACTAGTTTTATTTATAATTATTAACCAAATTGTTTCACAGGAAGCATGATGTAAGTAATACCTGAGGTTTGACACAAGGCCTGCAGGTTCTGAATTAATAATTTTCCATTTATAATTAAATATTCTATTGCACTTTATTACTGCAAGTGGAAACATACTGTGATGGGCAGCTGATACCTTGGTGGAATCCATACATATCCATGGCAGCTGGTCAGTCACAAGTATTTTGACAGGTCAAATAGATATGTGTTGATCAAATTCAGTGTAATGATTCTGTCATTGGTAACTACACACAAACTGTATACAACTTGGTCCTAGCTGTAAGGTCATTTGTCATTTCTTTTCCCAAGAAATAATATTTGCTTTAGATTTATATTCTTCAATATATGCTTTGACTATCAACAGAGCATGACAAAGCAAAATGTTTTCATGTCTAATATCAAAAGGTATTGACAGAATAAATTCAACAAACACAAGTGTTTTTGAAGTCCATATCAACCAGAACAAACCTGACCAAACCTAAGTATGACCTTATACTTACTATGTGCAGTGGGAATAGAATGTTAGATTTTGTACTATAAGAGCTGTCTATGCAGTATAAATAATGCACTTTGTCTTATTTAATCTACACTGCCAATGAAGAAGTTTTGGCAGCAGACAGGATGAATTCCCGTTTTAAGTCACCACTTTTTCTTCCGAAGTTTTACACCAAATTTGTGTTGACATTATTCTTTTTAACTTAAGTACAAAGTTTTGATTATATTGACTTTTCATGATCTGATTCGGTCAGGTCATGGTCAGGTCAGAAAGTAGCAAACTAATTGTTCTTGTCTAACTCCTTTGATCTGCTCTGTCACCCTTATCTGTCCGATGACCTTCACCTGCCCTTCACTCTAAGGACTCATCACTAGCCAATACCTTCTGCACATGGAATTATTTTCCATTTTATATCTATGCCAAGTCAGAATACTTGTTAGTATGAAATCCTTATTTCAATCAAATTTGTAATCAATGTAAGCTGTATTATTAAAGCTGTGTTATCAAAACTGGCTTACAAGCTGAAGAATGTGAACATTTATTAAAAAGTTAGGCGTCAAAAGATTAGCTACATATACATTTACCATTGACCTAAAATTTTAAAAACAGTTGAAATTTCTATCCATATATAGAATCATGTTCGGGATCTAATGTAACAATTTAATAAATTGAACTACAGAAATGAACAGTTCGGGGTTTGTAAGGTTGGATATTTTGGCAATGACATACACACTATATGTATTGTACATTGTACTCTGAATGCTGATATGATTTAGCTTGGATCCTTTATAACGTAAGTAAAAACGAGATCAACAACAGATGAAAGGCTTTTGACCTCAACGTGACTAGGAAATGCTATTGTCCCTATCTATAAACCTTCTACGGTCTAGAATCAATGTTTCAACAACAACTTTAATAACTTTGAATTAAATACATAACATGGATTATGTTACCACAATAACTTAATTCATATTGTGTAGGTATTTCAAATCTCATTGTTAGAGCAAAAGAAAAATGTTTTGGATCTCCAAATAAATACATTTAGAGAGGCACTTCAAGTCGATGCAATTTGTGTGTATGTTATTTCAAACTTGATATTTTGCCAATTTTTCTGTAGCTAAAGCCTGATATCATTTACATATCCTCACAGAGAAAAATGTTACATATAGAAAAACACAACTACATCAGGCAGAAAAAAAATCCCTCACCTAAAATAATTTAATTTACAACAATATATAT